TGACACAGCAGTACTGTAATGGTTCTTGGGTTGAATGCATGATACAGGCTTTGCTGTCTGCTGCTACTGCAAAAGGCTGATACACAGAGCAAGAGCTGTGGAGGAAAGCTGGAAGTGGGAGGCAATCAGTGTAGAACAGGCAGTGCTCTTTCCACCTGTGGGAGCTGGGCTGGGCTGGACCGGGCCGTTGCTGTACCTTAACAACGTGTGCTGGTGCTGCTGTTCCCTGTGCTCCACCGTGCGGTACACCTCCTGCAGGCTGTCGTGATATTCCTGCGGGGAGGGACACAGGCCAGGCTGAGCCAAAGTGTACCACAGGCACAGCAAGTAAACAAAAGGGCATCAAAACAGATAATAAAAAAGCAGAATAACAAATTTAACGAATGTGGAGAACATGACTGTGCTGTATTCCTTCAGGATACACAGGAGTCTGTACACCAGCCTTGGTGCTCAAGACCTGGGAGAATTCTAGTTTGTCTCGTAAGAGATTCTACAGTCTGCAGACATTTGTGAGCAGCTCATGATGTGACCAGAGTCTTTTTCCTGTTAATAAATCATATGCAAGCTGAACTTCAGAGTGTGAGAAAGTGTTTTGTCGTAAGGCAGCCGACACATCAGTAAAAATGTTTCGTGCAGAGAAAAAAAATCGAAAAGGGTTTCTTGGAACGTCGCCTGTAGCGCCTGTGCGCTCTCTTGTGGGCCTCCAGACTCACGACTCGAGACGGGGGATGGGGGGGAGACTGAGAAGGACACGCAGTTTGCTCACGCACACACGAGGCTGACTGCTCTGTGGCTGTAGAGCGCGGACCCAGCGGGAGAGAAGTCTGATCTGTTGAATACTACATGAGGCTCAGCCACCCAGCTGTGCTTCTCCGCTCTCCGCGATTCGTCGGAGAAGCTCACAGTCACTCGGCCTGTGCCAGCTCTCCGGGGTCAGTACGAGGAGGAGGAAATCGCAATGAAGTCTGCGGACCCTGGAACCTCCTACTGTGTCCAGTTATATCGGCACACAGCTGCAGACAGAGATACTGGCCCACACACCGGTAGCAGTACCATTCACTAATCTGCTCGGTGTAATAGCTAATGTTGTCGTTCAAATTCAAGTAACTATAAGTGATACATCTTCCAAGTTCAGTAACACTCGATCAATTCCCTGAAAGAGGCGCCAGTGAAATGTCTGAGATACTGGAGGCTGATGTTTAGTGGATATAGTTCTGCTGAAGTCTGTTCCACACTGCACCACTGCCTTGTTTCAGACACAGTCCCATCACTCAGTGCTGCATGTTCTCTGCAGCTCTGCGTGTACTTGATTGTGTGTGTGTGCGCGCGCCATACCTTCCACCCTCTCAGCACGTGTGTCAGCAGGCTGCGCTGGTGATGCCCGTCTGCCTCAGCCAGCCTCTCTGCCTTTTCTCTCCTGCGTTGCACAAACTGCAAAAACAAAAAGAGTCACAGCCCAGCCCAGCGGTCACCTCCACACCGAGCAG